GAAAACTAAATTATCGTTTAAAGTAAATAGTGTATATTTATTTATAATTGATAATATTATGCTGGTCTATACTTGTAGTCTGTAGACAATAATACAATATTATGAATTATAGTGCGCATGCATCGRCCAGTCCCTTACGTTGTTCGTTGTTCGTAATCGTACTTTGTCATAATCGTCAATCGTTTACCTACCGTGTCCATGTGCGATATTTATTTAGTCCGTTTCGATTATWATAGGTATTGTTATAATTTATAATATTATATAAGGTAAACATTTTATATTGCCGATATTTATTACAAAATAATTAAAAATGTCATTAAGTACGGTAACGAGTAGTGAAAATACAAGAGATCTTCAATCTTCAAATAGTTTAAAATGGCCGCGCGTTAGTTCTTTTTTTCAACAAATATTTGATACTGCATCCAACGCTCGCAATAATTCTTTAASATTTAAATGTTTGTTATGTGTACCAAGAAGAAAATTAATATCTGTTTCTCATACTTCAAATGCCAATCTCAGAAGTCATATTAAGGTAATTATTATTTTTTGTATTCTGTATTTTTTAATATTGTACCTAATTTAAATATTTAATAATATGGGTATGGTCGAATTGTACTTATTTTAGTCTAGCTGCACCTGGGTTAAAAAAAGCCAAAAGGTAATGGTCGAACTGCACTAAGTACCAAAAAAGTATTCCAACAAAAATATCATGCATTCAAAGGGGTAAATAACGTTTAGAAAACACTAATTTCCCTTCCCATTTACAGACTTAGGACTATCAATGATTTTGTGTTAAAAATTATTGTTTAATACATACTACAATGTCCATTATGTTAATATTACTATAATATACATAATATATTAAATCATCAAATATTATTATCGTTATTATTATAACTTTTTTTTTAAACTAATTTCTATCATTTTTTTTAGTAATAATATACATATTAAAATTTTTTATTCATTTTTGTCATTTTTTTCAGTAATAACTAACTGCATTCAAAAACTAGCCTGGTAATACGCTTTTGAGCATATAAGTTAATATATTTTTCAATATCATTTATTTTTTTTCTGGTACCGTGTAGTTGAAGGTCTTGTGTCAGTATTCTGCATTAAAATATAAGTACCTATATTTTAATATTTTATACTATGATGAACATGATTTATTAAATTTTGCGTGGAAGGACTCTCATGCATTAGTAGTTCTTTGACTAGAAATGTTATCTGTAGCCCAAATATGAGGCTATGAGGCTGCTTTTTATGCGAGTGCAGTTCGACCATTACCCTTTTTGAACCTAAGTGCAATTCGACTATCCCAATAATATTACAGTAGTTTATTACCTAATCGTACATAATTAATAAATAAATATTATAGATTAATTTAATAGATTAATAATTAAGTAATGGTGTTAAATATTTTTAATATTAAATGCTTATCTAGTGCTTAACTTAACTGTATGTCTGTATGTTACAGCTTATTCATCCACAAAAATTGAATGATTTTAATGCCACCTTTAAGAATAGAGATGACAATAGTAATAATTCAATTAAATCAACAGTCAAGCAATTAAAACTCGAAGAAGTTGGAAAAACAGTTAAAAAATTAACTCAAACTGATTTTAATGATGCCAATTTGAAGTTAATTATAAACACAGTCTCACCTTTTACGTTAATTGAACATCCGGCTTTCATAGAATATTGCAAACTGACATCACAAAAAGTACCAGTATCNATCTCTGATAGAGTGAAAAAATTATTTAAATTGATTTGTAATATTTAGTTAATGTGTTTATCATTACAGACTAAAGAATCTGTTGAATTAGCTATGCAAATAAAAGGGAAAAAGGTTCAAAATAGAGAAATTCGCATCAAAAGGATTGAAACTAAAAAAAATACAAATAAGGTGTTCAACCAAAGACCGTTGCCATATTTAAAAAAAACCAAACCTGTGGGTAAAAGTGGTCAAAACTTCCAAGGAGAAAAAATGAAACCAAAAATGAATAAAAAGGTAATAATGTATTTATAAAATACTTTTGTAGATCATATGATAAGAATCAGTTAGCAGCTTAGCATGATTTATTAATAAATTTATGCATTTCAAAAGATTGGTTTTTATGATGATTAAATTTCTTAATTCTATTTTTGGTTTTTGGTATAGGAAATTTTACATCTGAATATTGGTTAATTGTACACCATATTTATGATGTTTACATTGTAATTRTAAATTTAGCCAAGTACTACTAGTATATTTTTCTAGTAAATTTATTCYGAAATTCGATATCCATACCTATTTTATTTTTATTTTTTATTTGATGCATACTTTATTCAGAACAAAAGTTTGCCAGTTTGCTCACTCTAGCTGAATTTTACATTATCAGACCTCCACTAATGACTGCCGGTAGATGGTAGTGAAAATGTGTGCAGTCACTGAATGCTTTTGTCTACCGTCTGTTGTTCTTTTATTCTGAATAGAGTAAATTATATACAAACATAATTTTAACTGTTCAAAATTAACAATGATGTTAAGTGATTCCTATATTTTTGTATAAAATATTTTTATATTTATATTTGATTTTTTTTTTTAAGAATACTCATTATTAAATTATATTATATTAATTAAATTTTTTTTTCTGTTTATTTTAGAAACAAAAACCAACAAAAACTGATTTAATGAGAAAGAAGATTGCTAAAAAATTAAATGTTTAATCTAATTTGTATTGACTAATAAAATTATTAAATTGAAGCATTTTTAATTAATACATGAGTAGATTTGAAAATGCCAATGATATCTTATTTTATGCTTTATAATGGCTATAATACATACGTCTAAGTAATTTTGAAATAAATTTTTAAAGTAGTTTTTAGGCTTTGCTTTAAATTGTTCTACTGTTCTGCAAATAAAAGTAGTAATTGTCTACTACTAAATAATCAAAAAACCAAAATGAACTGTAGCCGGGTAAATTTTTTTTTTTTTTTTGAAATATTTAAAATGTGTTTATCAAAATTAAAAATAAATCAACAATATGCAAGTAATTAAAACACTCCTTTTAGAATTTTTAATTTAAAAAAAAAGCCAAAACAAATGTTATATTTAAATTCTGATACTTGTATCATCTTTATCACTAAAATCACATATTTTTACATAAATTTAACATAAAAAATTAAGTGTTTTGGTAGGTTAATCTTTGTGTACAGCAACCAACTTTAACACCAATGGGATGAGTGATTTTTTGAGCTTTGCTTAATGATGTGTTATGTACTTAAGCTAGTATTCTATATATCCCAATATTTGCTTGAATAATATTTATTTATTTTTTGTAATGGGTTTTATCGAAATCATTTTTAGTAGTTCTGGCTGTATTGATTTAGAATTTAATGATAACTTGAAAACTTTTTTTGTGTGAGTTTTGTACTCTTTCATGCTTTTATATTACCTAATTAAACAAATTTGTTTCCACGAATGTCATAAAATTACTTATTACACTTATATTTTCTAAGTATTTAAAAATTAAAATTATGTACAACGTCATTTTTAAAATATTAAAATATGTATTGAAAATATAAACTTTTTAAACAACAATTTTTTTTCTTCTAGCTTTTGCAGTTTCAATATCATTAATTAATGATATACATATATTTTATAAGATCTGATTTATACCTATTTAATAAAGATGATACATTAAACAATCATTTATCAATGTTTATGTAATTTTTACACTTCAGAATGGAAAATAAATGCTCATCAATACAATTTACCACAGCAATACACAAATACATTATCATAACATTCATAACTATTTCTAAATATGAAAACATTTCTTCTTAAGTTTCATCTTTGATACATTTTAATATAAGAGATGTTGACAATGTTTTGAAATTTCATAATAAATTTGTTTATGTTAAAAGTAATTCTTTAAACTTTAAAGTGTAAATATTCAGCTTTGAGTACCTTGGAATTTTCTAAATCACTTGAATATTTTTAATCCGAATTATGATAGGTTTGTTTTATTATATCATGAGCACTATGATCTTTGTTTAATATTGGAATACAACCATACACCTTCAATGTATGTTAAACTTCAATAAATCATAAATATTACATAATATATGCTGCAAACCTTATATTCGACCGAGTTAATTACTATAAAATAAATTTTAATTTTATAGTTCTGTTTTGAATCAAATGTTTCAACTATTCTGGTACTTTGTCATAAAATGCAAAATAAAAAATTCAATAAAAATATTACCTTCACAAAATAGCATTATCTTTAAATTTTGAATGAAAAATTATTTAGAAATTACATTTTCAACAGTGTACTTTTAATTTAATGAATTAAGGAAATACTTAGAACATACTCAATTGTTTTAAATGTAGTACATTATTACCAATAATGTAAATTTTTATTATAATAAGAAAAGAAAATAAAACTAAACAAATAGATAAACACTTAATTTTCTTTTTTACTCATTTTTTTTCTTTAAAATAATCAAATTTATCTCTTGTTACATTTAAATATTTTCCAAATAACACAATTTAACAAATATACCGAGATTAATATTTACAGATTGACCTTATTTATTTACTTCAATTAGTTCAATTAATCTTAATAAAAACAAAGTTTAAGATATTTTAGATACTAATTAAAATAAAGCAATCAAAGTAAACTCTTAACCTAATAAGTAGGGTTTGGAAGTTATATGAGTTGCATATTATTCTGTATGCTGTCAAATTATAGCAGACCAAGATAGAAATCTGAGCTAAATAATGTTGAATTAAAAAATTTAAAATGCATATTTTGTCGATTTTCATTGATTTTCGCATATTTAATATTTTCTACAAAAATTATTATTTTTTCATTCTTGACCAATTTATTTCAAATAATGTTACATAACACAACGCTAATAAC